ACCAAAAAAATTAATTTTTTAACAATATGAACAATTTAGTATTATACATAACCTCATAGAATGTCTAAATGTTATAAATGTATATGGATACTATATTTATATTTATACTTACACGAGCTTAATGTTAAGGTAAAACACGTGATCTATTGATACATAATTATATGAATACATGAGATAATATTTATGCTTAGAAACTGTATAATCGACTCCAAATTGTAGAGATATTAATATACGAGTCAAATAACTTAGCTTACTCGCTGTGTCTATCACAATCACCGTATGGCCACTCACTAAATGATCACGGATAATTTTCCGGGCCATAACTGTGTCCACAATAAGGTGATCTAAACGGTACTTAGATCTGTACTCGGTTATTTTGGTACTTAAGTATTGTATGTCCTTAATATTATCAGATGTTGATATAGTACCTGCCACATTTATGTAGGGATTTTGCTTAATATCGTCCAATGTTTCAATGTATGGCTTATATTTAATCACTGAATACATGGTAAGCAGAGGAGCTGTAAATGATATGCCTATTATTAACCCATAAAGAGCAATTGACGAGAAAAATAGTAAGCTAGAATAATATTTAAAAGTGTTATTTTTGCTTGCTACTTTTACATAATCCAGTAATATTGAGTTTGACTGTAAGGTATATGTCGTAATGATAAACAAATAGCTATTGTATAAACTAATATAGTGTTTGCTAATAATATTCAATAATAATCCACTTATTATGAAAATTATCAAAATAGTAATCCAGGTCTAAATTTTCAAAACAAATAAAATTTTAGATATAAATATATGTATATAAATTAAATTGACACAAACTATGTTACCATAATGTCAAAAATGTGGATAAAATTAAAATACGTGAAACTGATTTCAGTCTTAAGACCACTGATTATCTCAATCAAGTACACGGGCTTAACAGGTATTAGATCCAGTTGTATCATATTCAAGTTTGCGCTCGTTGTTTCACTTATACTGATTAAATTTGTCTAGGGCATAATTATAGGTATTTAAATTCATATCATATTCTATATTTTGCTAAATAAAATATGGTATTATTTATTGGCATCAACCTACCGTTGTTAAACTAATATCACGAGTAATTTTGACTAATAATCCCAAATTACACATTAAATATTGTATTAATGTAATGTAGTACGAATGGAGCAACCCCTAATTATTTTTAAATAAATTATAAGATAATTAAAAATATTATTAATTAAAAGTCTCTCATTTATAAATTTAAACATGAACTATTATTATTAATTTATTAAGCGTAAAATAGTAATTAATAAATAATAATGATTTACATTTGTGTTGATTTGAACAGTAGTCGACCCATTAATTGACACATTATTGCGATTACATGAATAAAATTCGTTGAAACTTATGTACGAAACGGGAATTACATCATAGATATAGTCCAACTCCAAGATATTATAATTAGACATTTTTACTTCAAAGTTATAACTCTAGTATCAAGTATTAATTATTGTAGTGTCACTTATTTAAAAACATATACGATAATATAAATGAATATAACAAATATATTATGTAACGAGTTAATGATAAATATATTATACGGAATAGATAAATTTCGACTCAAATTTGTAGCTTATTTAAGGTAAATTTATTGCAATTAAAAATAATTGTTTTGCATAAAATACTGTAGTAAACATTTTAATTGGTTGTTAAATTATACAATCAATATATACAGTAGAGAACCTAATAATATAGGATTAATAAATTGTCAATAATATAATTATTTTACTGTACTAAATAATTGTAATTATAATTAATTACTATAATAAAGTACAATTAGTTTTAAACAGATAACAAGTATTGATTTGTGTGCATGTTACATTACAAAATTCAAGTAAATATGAAATATTTAAATATAACTACATGAACAATTATTTTTGACCAGTAATACAATACAATAGTAAATAATTTAATTGAATAATTAATAAAATATCAATATAAAATCAATATTCTAAATACTACTACATTTTAGTATAAAATTAATGATAATTTATCATTTATGTAATTATTAATTACCTAAATTTATGTTAATACTGTATGAAATTAGTTTAATATAATAGAATATTTACTACTCAAACAAAATTCTATTTTAAATACCTTAATATTATTTATATTTATTGATTAGTTGTGTATTAATTATTAAAAAATTATCATTAAAATATGCTAATTTAATATTGACTTTTAATTCTATTAGTTAAATACAAATCATAATTACTATATTTGCCATTAAATGATTTAAAACTAATATTGTGTGAAACATTACATTTACTAAATAAATTAATATTCAATTTCTTAATGCATAATTCAATAACTAGACTAATAAATCCCAGAATATATGCAATAAATATCAATATAAATATACTTTTCAATACATCAACTAGTTTAATTGGTTGATGATTTTCATTGGGTATACCATAGGTACCGTTCTTTGCCTCGTAAGCTTCACGTGCCCAACTTAATTTCATATATGAAAACAATTCTTTTTGGTGTTTATGAATCCCAAATTCAATTACTTGTTTTAACCTAGATTGAATATTAGAGTATATTAGTGCCGTAAGTGTCGGTAATGCAAAATAAAGCAACATGGTCAAAGTGTTTGTCGTGCGATAAGGGATTACAAATGTTCGGATACTTACATGAATTTAATATTTGAATAAAATGTGTGAATTTTAGACACGTAGTTATACGCATACATGAGATAATATTTATTATCTGATATAATATAATCCACATTCAATCGCAGAGCAATTAAATTACGGCTTAAATAATCAGTCATTTTGTTGGTGTCGGTCACAATCACAATTTGACCTTTAATCAATTGATTGTTCATTATTTGTTGCGGCCCATCACGTCCCAAACTCAAATAATGCAAATTAGATTTATTTTTATACAAACCCATTCTTATGTTTAGGTTTTTAATGTCATTAATGCTTTCGGAATTGTATTTATAACCTGCTACATTAATCTCCATATTGTTTATGATATTATTTAATGTCTGAAAATATGGCGCTGATTTAGTAACTGAATACATGTTAAGCAATGGGACTGAAAATGATTTCGCTATTATTAGCCCATATAATATTATTGATGATAGAAATATCAATGTTGAATAGTTATTAATCGAGTTGGTTTTATTCGTCGCTTTAATATAGTTTAATAATATCGGGTTTGACTGAAGCGAATAAGTTGTAATGATAAACAAATAGCTATCGTATAAACCGATATAGTGTTTGCTAATTATTGTTAACAGTAATGCGCTTATTACTGAAAATAGCATAATTAGTATCCAGATCTAAATTCAAATCATTACAATTAAAAACATCATATTTTCTTGGAATAAAATAATTTAAAAATTTACTATTTTGTCAAAAACATGCATGAAGTTAAAATACGAATAACTCTTTTCAGTCTTAAGACCACTGATTATCTCAATCAAGTACACGGGCTCAACAGGTATTAGATCGAGTTGTTTCATATTTAAGTCTGTGCTCGTTGTCTCACAAATACTTATTACATTTTTCTGTTAAAATTAGAATTAAAAATTAAATCATTTAATTGAACAATTTTATCTAAATTCAAACAGCACCTTGAGTAAAGTTTTCCTACAATACACTTTAAATTGGAGTGCTTAGGAAAGTACAGTTAACTCTCAGCAGATAATAATTACAGATAATAATTGCATTTTTACAGTTCAAGTGTATTACAGTTCAAACTTTTAATTTAAAGTTCATTATATGCTTAAAGTTAGGTGTTCCTTCATAAGTATTCCTCTTCAAAGTTTATTGCAGGTAAATAATAGCGGTTTGAATTATAAGACAAACTGTATTAGTCAACGTGTATATTATAAATTGAATCTTACCGTAGTAATATTAATACTGTTTGTAATATTTACCAATAGACCAAGATCGCACATTAGGTACTCCAAAAATGAAAGATAAGTTGATCCAATGACAGACTAGGTATTTTAATAATAATTATTATCTTTATATATACATTATAAACAGGCAAAACATAGACCTCAGTACGCCCAGAATATAACCCTTGTGTTTTAGTTTATATACTATTCATATGTTAGTCACATATAGTGTACTCTAATATAAATTCTATATTTTAAATATTTCATATACCTAGACAGTTTATAAAAATTATATCGATTGCTTTTATAATTATTAAGTATTTAGTAGTAAATTCCAGAAGTATGTATGTTGATTGAACAAATGGTTATATTTATATGTAATTATAAATCTTTAATCCTTACCCTAGTAGTCTGCAAAACTGTTAATCCATTTGTGGTAACATTATTGCGATTACATGAATAAATTTGGTTAAGATCTATAACAGTATATGGAAAAATACCTCCATAGTAATCAATCTCCAGATGATTGTATTCAGGCATTATTTTTGATGACAATTAAATGATAAAACATTTATTATAATGTGCATAGTAAAATTTAAATTTTGCTTAATAAGTATTATAAACTCAAACTAACATTTATATTACACAATGTTTCACATGAGGAACATAAATCCCATTTGGTACATGAAAACAAATTATTATAATTAAAATTATTTAAATATCAAAAGTTTCATATTAATAATCAGTTTTAATTCCAAGATTTTATTGTAAATAATTTATTCAATCAATAAATGGATATTATTTATATATAAATGATTGCACTTTGCTTAATTAATTATATTATTTAAGCTGATAAGATACTATTATAAAAATTACTTAGCTTATTAATTATTAGTAATAATTTATTACATTAGGGGTCGTTCTCAAAGTACGTTCGCACTTGGAGGGAGGGGGGTGTCGGCCAAAGCGAACTTTTGCGAACAAAGGGGGAGGGGGGTAAGAGACTTTGAGAACGTTCGCATTTAAATAATTTGAGGAATTTAAAGGATTAGTATTTATCAACGTTAATCTTTTAATAACAACCATATCAAACAACTGTTCCTATTAATAACAGCTTTTATTCAAATTGATAACAAATTTGGAATAAATATATGACTTTTGATGAGGCTTATTTAATTATAGTGAATGTTGCATTAATTAATGTCCATTATATTTGATTAAGAATCGGTGTTATTTTCACATGTTTTTGTATTACATTACATTTTCATGTATTAATAAATGAAGTTATATCATTAACATTTCTACTTAAATTGTAAGGGGTGATTCTCAAAGTACGTTCGCACTTTTTAAAAAATCTAGACCCC